CCCCCCTTGCGCTCAACCGACGCAACCCTCACATGCTGCACGCGCTCCCACCCACCCCAGGACATCCTGTCTGAGGCCAACTGCCGGAAACTGGCCTGACAGCGTGACGCAGGCGTGTGCTGCCTCCCTGACTCCCTCGTACGAAGGCCGCCGTCTCACCCGTCATCTGGGACCCTGCGCACACCAGGCAACTGTGCAGAGGTGGAGGCGGGCCGCTCCCCAGTATCGCCCAAAGGGTCAATCAGCCCGTAGGGTCGGCCTCGGGCGGCAGGCGGCCTGCGAAGCAGGCTGCGTCTGTTGGGCGGATGCAGGATCCAGCATGCCTGACGCTTGTCTGTGGTTGAGCGCGTGGTTATAGTGGTGTTTTGGGGTTGCACCCCCGCAAGACATGCATCATCATGCATTTCATTGCTTCCAGCCGTTCGCAAGTATCCTCGTTCACGCGCATCACAGGGCAAGTTTCCGTCCAGCACGCACTGCCCTGGTCAGTGGCACGACGCGGGGTTGGTGCCCCGGCGCCGGCTGCATCATACCGCTCGCTGCTGTCTTTGACAACGAATGCGGCCTGGCTCATCACCATCCCCTCCGCCTCTCAGCCCGGGCTTGGCCCCACATAGCAGAGGCCCCAACTTCATCATTTCGGGCACATTTTATCGAATGCTGCCCTTCAACCACATCCTCTTATGGACCCTGCAATCAGGCTGGGCTCATTCTTGTGCGTTGCTGCTCCCACATGACCCCCAGTTCCCATAGCAACTCCTCGGGCAGCGTGGGTGGAGCAACACGGTTACCCCGCCGCGCAAACGATTGCATGTGAAGTAAGCGGATACACTGCACATATCAGCGCGTGCAAGTCTCAGACAGAGCGATTAACCAAATGTGTAAGGGGCGGAGGAATCAGACACTGGGCCAAACCAAGTGCCCCACAACCAGCATCAGCACAGCAGGAAGAGCGCGCCGCGCTCCCCTCCCGTGCCGCTGAACCCCTGCAACAGCTGGCGTATCTGCAGCGGCAGCCCCGCGAGCCCCAGCGCGGCCGTTGACTCCTCCAACCGAACCAAGGCGCTGCTTCCTGCTGCCAGACGCACGGAAGGCGCGCTTCGCAGCAGCCAGGCCGCAAGCAGGCACCTGTAAAGCGGCCCGAACACTTCGGGGTGGTTCCCCACGCCGCCGACCCACGCGCCCGCGGCCGCGGCCGGCGCCGCTGCGACTCGTGCGGCCGCCGCAGCCAGCCAGGCATCCACACCGCGCGCCCACTCGATCAGCGGCCCGTCCTCAACGCAAAACAGCCCCTCGGCGCCGGCGCCGGCCGCAGGCCCCGTAGACGGTTCCGCCGGAGGCAGCCGTGTCAGGGCGCGTGCGGCCAGCTGTGCGATCTGTAGCGGCTCTTCGTGGTGGTTGTCTGCCTCTCGGTCAAACAGCCGCCTCGAGGCAGCCGCCGCCCCGCCGCCCGCCCTCGGCGCCCCCTCGCCTCCCGGCCCTCGCAGCGCCGCCAGCGCCGCCGGCAGCGGCGTTGACGGGTCGAACACGGCGAGCGCGAGGCGGCGCAGCGCGGCGGCGCGGGCGGCGGGGGCGAGGGTGACGCAGGCGTCGGCGATCGCGTCAAAGGCGCGTGCCTTGACGGCCTCCTCGTACTGCTGCTGGCGCGTGCGGTCTTGCACCGGTTCCCGCGGCTGCTGACCCTGATGCTCCTCCGAGAGCCGCTGCTCCTGCTGTTGCTGCTGCTGCTGCTGCTGCTGCTGCTGCTGCTGCTGCTGCTGCTGCTGCTGCGGCTGGGAGTCGTCCAGCGCCCCCTGGGCAGCAGCCGCCGCTGCAGCGCGCACGCCCTCATCGTCGTCCTCCAGCAGCGCCGCCGCCACCCACCAGCACCCCGACGACAGCCGCTGCAGCCACTCCGCACCACCGGCGCCCGACCTGGCGCCACTGGCACCATCGGCCCCTGCGCCGGCGCGCAGCAGCAGCGGCAGCAGCAGGCCGCCTGCGCCCAGGGAGCGGGCCACGGCGAGCCGCAATTCGTCGGGCTGGGACGCCTGGCTGAAGGCTTCAAAGTGATCAAAAACGCCTGTCAGGACGTCGCGGGCGCCGTCGGAGCCGGCGGCGGCGGCCGGGACGAGCCGCCGCGCAGTGCGCGCGAGGCAGCCGAGGGCCTGGGCGCGCGCAGTCAGGTCAGGCGCCGCCCAGAGTGCGGTGCGCGCCTGTTTCGCACGCTCCAGCGCGCTGCGAGTGGCTGGGTCCGCCGCGTCCTTGTCCGTGCCCTGCTGCTGCTCCTGCTGCTGCTGCTGTTTCTGCTCCTCCTGCTGCTCCTCCTGCTTGTCCTCCTGCTGTTGCTGCTGCAGTTGCTGCGGCGGCTGTGGATGCAGGTGCACGGGCGCACCCTCCTCGTCGTGCCACTGCTGCAGCGCAGCGACCAGCGCCAGCAGCCGCCGCCGCACCTTCACATTAGCTTCTGCCCCCAGCGCCGCCCACAGCCGCCGCTCGAGCGCGCGCAGCAGCGCGGGCGCCGCTGGCTCGGCCGCCGCCCAGCCCGCGGGTGGCGTGGGCGGCAGCTGCCGGGCGGCTTCCTTGCAGGCGGCTGCCCTGACCTCGTACTCGTCGCTCTGCAGGACCTCTGACAGGCGCCATGTCAGCTGCTCCAGCAGCAACCCCCAGAACCCGCCACCGCTGCTGGCTTCGGCGCCGACGCCGTGCCCAGCGCTGGTGCCGCCATCCAGCTGCCTCAGCCGCTGCAATGCAGGCGCCGCAGCGACAACTTCCGCCACCAGAAGCGGGCCAAGCAGAGCGCTGCTGCAGTGCTTCAGCCAGACAGCGTGCTGCGGCCCCTGGGCGCCGTCCGCACCGCCGCCGCCATCCTCCTGAGCCGTTGCCTTGACTGCCGCCAAGCACGCCGCCTGCAGGGCGCGCCGCAGGCGGTCGCCGGCGCCGCCGGCGCGCAGGCCGCCGGCGCGCGCCGTCTGCAGCCGCAGGGCCTGCCTGGCGACGCGCAGGTACGCGGCCCGCACGGGCGCACACGCGCAGCGCGGGCCGGCCAGCCAGGCCGCCGCCGTCAAGCCGTCCGTTACCTCATCGTCCAGCCCCTTGCTCTCATCACTGCCCGCGCGCTGGTCGCTGCCGCCGCCGCCGGCTTCAGGGCCGGCCACGGCGGCGCCGGCGAGTCGGTTGCCGCCAGCTGGATCGGAAGCCTCCGTCTCCAGCAGCACCTCCAGCTGCATCAGCGCCCCATGCAAGGCGTTGTGGCTCGAAATGACGACAACCCCCTGACCACGATCGCCGCCGCCGCCGCTGCCACTGTTCGCAATCCTGGCCCTGGGCAGCGCCGCCGCGAGCGCGGCCGCGGCTGCCATCCGCTCCTGCGGCGGCACCAGCGGCCCCAGCGCCGCCGCCGCCAGCTGGCGCTCCCCGAGCACTGGGGACGCGCGCCCGACCGCGGCCAGCGGCGCGGCGAGGATCGACGGCGCCAAGGGGCCGTCCTGCGGGGTAACGGCCATGTGGACAGACGGCTTGAGGCGCGCCAGGATTAGCAGCACCCTGTACAGCCCAGGGTGCGCCGCCGCTGCCGCGCCGGCCGCCGCGCCGCCGCTGCCGGCCCCGGCGGCGCCGGTGGCGAGGGCATCCGAAGCGGCGGTCAGGTGGCGTAGCATGTAGGCATGCAGCGGCGGGAAGCGCGAGAAGAACTCGGACGCGGTGGGGGCCTTTGAGTACGCGTGCGACGCGCCCGCCGCCGCTGCTGCGGCGTCCGCCACGCCCTCGCGCCTACCGGGCGCCGCCTCCTGCTCCGCCACGCGCCCCTCCCCGCCGCCGCCGCCGCCGCCGCCGCGGTGGGCGGCCAGTGCGGCCGGGCCCCAGGCCGCCCACGACAGCTTCTGCCGCGCCGCGACGCCCGCATTCTTGAAGCCGACCATGCGCACGACGAGCGCCGTGAACGCGAGGGACGCGGCGTTGCGGACCTCCCAGGACGCGTCCGCGGAGGCGTCTATGGCGGCGACGAGGCCGTCTGGCAGGCGGGCGCTGGCCTCCAGGGCGAGGGCAGCGTCCCTGAACACGAGGCTGAGGGCGTTGAAGGCGTGGACCTGTCGCCGTGTTGGGGTGGGGCGGCGTTATGGAGATGGGGTTGAGTGGTGTGGGGAGGGTAGGTCAAATTTCCCCTTGCAGGGGACAACTTGGGCAGGGGATTGGGGTGCAGTGGGGATGAGATGAGGACGTGTTGGCCAGAACGTTGATGCAGCAGCAGCAGGGTGCATCCCACAGTGTACGCCCTAACAGCATGCAACCCCCAAACAGCACACTCTCACACTCTCTCACACACACACACAACCACACACAAACAAACACAAATACGAGTACAAACACAATGAGACGCACACACACACACACACACACACATTTACACACACACAACCACTAGCACGCATCCACGCAAGCACACAACCTCTCTCACCCTGGGCCATGGCTCCAACGACGCGTCCGCAGCGACCGCCAGCAGCCGCCCCATCCCCTCGTGCAGCAGCCGCCGGGGCGCCCCCGGGGGCTCTGCCAGGAAGAGGGCGGCGAGCGCGTAGGGCAGGCCGGCGGAGCGCCGCACGATGTCGTCAAGGGACTGGCCTGGGGGGCGGGGCGGGACCGTGGAGGGGTTGGGTGTTTTGAGGGCTGCCGCAGCTTGGTGAGGTTATGAGCACATGCCTGTGGACGGCATCTCAAAGGGAGATGAGAGGGTGTGCAATAAGAAGTTGGCGGCACAGGTAACTGTTTTGAACGCCGCGCTCACGGGCTGCTGAAGGGTGGTAGTGCCCAGGACAGGCGGAACGAGCGCAACAGCTCAGCCAAAGGCCGCAATCCAGGCCCATGAGTCCTGTCCCACCGCAGTGGCAGCAGCCGCCGGCCCGGCCCGCCCCGCCCCGCCGCTCACCCGGCCGCCCCATGTGCTCCAGGCAGCGCCGCAGCCACGCGCCCGGCAGCCGCGCCAGGCGCGGGTCCTCGGCGCGCAGCAGGCGCCCCGCGAGCGCGCAGAAGCCGGCCTGGACTTTGTCCACTGCCCCGTTGTGCTTCAGCTGCAGCAGCAGGTCCAGCAGCACCGCCCCCGCCCCCTCCAGCTGCGCCGCCGACAGTAGCGGCTCC